TGTTTCGGGGTAAATGCATGCCGAACAGACAATGGTGTTCGGTTCCTACAACTTAGTGCTGACCTCATTGAGTATATTGGCAGCACTGCTTTCAAGCACTAACGTTCACATCGTGTCACATGTGCCCACCGAACCCCTCGACGACGTTGACCCAAATTGACCCTGTTGCTGTAGGCCACATAAGGCGTACCTCAGTTCAAGACCGTCAGTCAATTTTGAGTATATGTCTGCATTCGGACCAGGCTCTAATGTCTCCCGGTCCACCTACAATCGCAGTGACACCTATATATGGGGTAGCAAATAAGTTCATAACCCAGACGTACCTACGGCACCCATGGGGTGCCGTAAACCTCGACCAAGCTTGTGGGAGTTTTTCGGCCTCGTTCGACACATAAAGTCAGCAACGATTGTGCCACGGAATCTTCTATCTTTGCTACTGGATGCCCCATTGTCCCACGTTTGGCACAACGAATGCCCTAATCTTGCAACGAACGCCGCTTGCGCCCTAATCGTGGCGCACGCATTACCGCTCTGCGCCGTTGGTGCACTTAGATTGGTTAATACGAGCTCCCCTCTATATATATACTGTTCCTAGTATGGTTGATGCTCATAACATTGGCTTGCCGATACGCCTCCGTTTGAACCCGTCTCCATCTTACCTCGTAACTAGTTGCACATCGGCGCAGCGTGAATACTTCAGGTAGGTTATCATACGGTGCAGCTTAACATCATTTAGTTCACTCTACACATAATGTCAAGAGGAGGCCCACGCATGCGCCATCCGGGGGAGGTTAGGGAAAGAATATTGAACACCTATGAAGAAGGCGATGACGGGAAACTGATTGCATTCGTGTTAAATGTCAACCTGAAGACTTGCCGAAGTTGGATTAAAACGTTAGAGTCCAAGGAACCAAAAGGAAAACGTGGCGAAGCACGAAAATCCTGGACTGACATTCATGTGAATAATCTGGTGGAAAGGGGAGAAGTGGAGCATAACATAATCTTAGAGTGTCTTCGTTTCCGATTGAAAGCGGGGCTAAACCTAGAGGTGGGCGTCAGCACAGCAGCTAGGTGTCTAGAGGGTCGCTTCATTACCATGAAAAAGCTACATGCTGTACCGGAGTCAATGAACGAGAGACGAAGGAAGTCTTATGTTTTGCAGCTGATGAACTTGGATGCTGGAGGGTGGCAACCAGTTTGGATTGATGAGACGAATTACAATCTGTTTTGCGCTCGCACAAGGGGACTTTCAGCACGTGGCACACGTGCGCAGTGCACTGTAGTGAGCACTGGTGGACAAAATCTGCACCTTATCGGCACAATGACTGTAGATGGACTTTTGGAATATACTGTCTTAAGGGGGAGTTACAACAGGGAACGGTGTGCGCGGTGGTTGCAGCAAATGCTTGATGCCAACGGCACTGTTGTGAGCGACTTCGTGTCATTATTCCCAAGGGCCAATTCATTTGCAATAATTCACGTGGGTGCCTCGGACAGCTCAGCGATGAAATGGGTGGACACACCGCGCAATCATATTTCACGTACAAGTGGAAATGCTTGAAAGGTTAAGTGCCAACCACCATCATCACTCGTGACTGCAAAGCCCAGATGGCACCACGTGTGTTTTGCGAGTATACCCCCTAGCATTTGTGTAGCTTCAGTGTAACCAAACATGCCTGAATACGAGTCCCGAGCGCGACTGGGCACCCACCAAGTCGCACGCGATCTGCGCCACCCCCAAACTTCTCTGGTAACTCAGGTCGTAAACTAATCTGATATGCCATTGGTTGAGTTGGGATTGGTCACCCAACGAGGGGCGCGCTTTAGTGTGTTTGCGCCAGGTGGATGATATTTGATTGCGTTAAGGAGGATTCTGAAAGATGTATGGGCGAACCTATTTCCTTAAAGCTAAGTTTGAAAGTAGCAGCAAATTGGGTGTTGCCCGCCTGAAACCACTGCACTCCATGACGCGTTTCGAGGTTATTTCCTCTCATCAGATACGGTCCTAGTGATCGAATGGCCAAGGTTCACTTCAATGGGAATCGCGGTCTACTTTGAGATTGCGCGTCGCAATCCATCCACACAACGTGTACTTCAAATTCACTTTCCAATAAGTTTGAAAGTGTTATGGATGCAATTAACTGAAAACAGGTGTAGGTTTAGCTCGCGTCATCGTTCTAGCGAATTGCGTGGGAAATTTACCGCTTACAATCACAGTCCTCAATCGTTATCGTGTCGATGGCTCGGATTCCCTCCCATCTGTACTTCTTAAGGATGGAGGTGCGATTCTCTGCAAAGCACTGACCTCAGTGTTCGAACATTTATGGGAGGAGGAAACCGTTCAGGAGAACTGGAGTGAACCGGTCATAGGGGCAATATACAGGAAGCGTAGTCGCACCGACTTTACTAACCACTGGCGTATCAGCCTAACGCCGTAGTGACACAATTACTGGCGTCGGTTCTCGTTCGTCACCTCACTGTAGAAGCGTAATCCCGGATTAAGGAGGAGCAGGCAGGTTTGCGTCCAGGACGTGGCTGTAGAGACCACATATTCACTTTTCGACAAATGCTAGAGCAGCACAACGCAAACCGCAGACTGACAATAGCTGAGTGCCTCGATTTCAAGAGTGCGTTCAACTCAGACGATCGATGCATTCTCTTCGAAATACTTGCTCGGAAAGGTGTTCCCACGAAATATGTGAACATTTTACATGTTCTGTAGTTGCTCGTTTCTGGCCGCGTCAGGGTCTACGGTGACATTCTTCAGGGTTGTCCAATTTCCCAATTTTGTTCGGTTTCCTCGTGGGCTGCATCATGGGATATCCCTTCGCGGATTCTCATGATGCACACTTTGGGATGCTGCCTGGTGACAGACTAGTTGATCATGAATATGCGGACGATATCGTCGTGCATCTTAACGATGTTAGGTGCAAGGAACCCTGAATACCCTGTGCAGGGTGGTTCTATTATTTGGTATGCACTCTGCACCTTCAAAGTGTAAACTGTTGCTGCAGGTTCACCAACCACTTGATGATCTCTTGGCCTTAGATAACGAGGAATTCGCGGTCGTTGATCAATTCACTTACCTTGGCCGCTGTAACAGCAACGATGGGTGCAGTGCTACTGAAGTCAATTCGAGCATGGTAAAAGCCGGAACTGTCTTTTTTTAATCTGCGACATTTTTGGCAATAGAAAAGAGTTTCCCCCATCTAAAAGGCTGTGGTTACAAGACCACGGTGACGGCCATCCTCCTCTATGGGAGTGAGAATTGACCCCTTCGGACTGAAGATCTGAGGCACCTTCAAGTCTTTGAACATCATTGTCTGCGGAGCGCTGCTGGTGTCGGATGGCACTAGTGTGTCCGCAACGATGATGTGCCTAAACAAGTGCTAGGCAATGATAACCAGGCTATTTCATTAGAATAACCTTTAGCACTGAATAAGTTACCTTGGCTTGGGCACGTGTTACGTATACCCGGTCACTAGTTACCGAGAAGGGCTTTGTTTTGTGTGCCAGATGTAGGGTGGCGCAAAGCTCGCGATGGACAAACATTGACTTGGCAGCAGGAAATGAAGTCACTGACAACCAAACTGGGTGCCGTTGGTCCGTCTCGTCTTCCGGGCTGGAGTCCACGTGACTCGTCTTGTGCTTGGCGTGAGACATTACAGGACATGGCTCGCAATCGGCACCAGTGGCTGGTCTGATCCCGTCTCCTAGTCGGACCGCCTGATTCAAGTGTGTATGGTGCTGAGTTTTCTGCGTGGTACTGAATGATGATAACGCGGGGCAGTGAAAGCCTCAAGGAAGCTGTCTCGCCGATGCCTTCCTATCTTTGCATGATAGTCGGCTGTCTGTGATGACATGCTGTTGACAATGTGTAGGCGCCTTGACCCTGAATGTTTGCCTAGGGCAGTATTATTTTCCGGTAAGTCCCTCTTCCTCTTATTATGCTTCCTTCCGTAAGTCACCGTGGTTGTATGGCAGCGAAGCATCAGTTCCACTGGCTAGTGTGCTGTTGTTGATGATGATACAGACTAAATTAATCGAAGTTGTTACCCAACCGTCCATGTTTTTAACCAACTAGAATAATGATCTTCGCCACCAGCTTCGATAAGATGATGTAAGACTCGGTGCTTGTGTTAGTAAACCTTGCTTACATAAACAGAAAGCGTTATCTTTATGAGCGTTTACACACCGCATATTGCCGCACACTAAGTTTGTTCCAAAGTGACTGTATACGGGTGTCACACTGGGAGCAGTTCAGGTCATTCCGGTCTCGGGATGCAGGTGCTGGGAAGTGACTGTTCTCAAATCATACTGACGATTGCGCGGAGGACCGTATTACTTCACTTTCTCTTTCCAACTTTACTTCCCTCTTTGTCTTGAACCTGTTATGGATGTTGTTTTGATTAGCTCCTTTCTACCCTCCTTATGTCTTGCCGATATCATCCATTCAGTTAATTCATAGAGCGCACTCATGATTTTATTCAGTAGGTCCTTCTTCTTTATATCCATGCTAAGAAATACTTTGTTGCCTTTACGTTTTCCTAATGTTTTGTGCAAGACTGTGCTTTGCTGATCATGCCCTGATAGGTGTGTCTCACGCTGCCGAGAATAAACGTTTACTCATTCTGGTGAACTTTTAGAGCGGATTTTTCTTGCTGCATGTCACTTCCCCAGTATTTTCTAAGGACATGCATGCACACCTGCTGATTAGGTGGGTAGCAGTTTAATCTTTATTGTTGCTGAGTACCTTTTTCGTAAAAGATGTCTCAAACATTTCTTCGTGCGTGGGCAAATGGTGCCCACTGTAGTTCTGGCAACCTCAGCGCCAGTTCATGTTTTGTAGACATGTTGATTAGGCCGCAGTTTTCTATATGAGTTGCAAGTAATAAAGTTACACTTTCAGTTACTCAGTAAACCATGACAAATGCATTCGGCCGGGTGAATAGAGTGTCGATTTCAAGTAACACGATCTCTCTGTTATTTCCACACTTCAGCACCCCATACATCCCACTCCATTTGTGCATTCATCCTTCAAATGTGGCCAGCCACTGCGCCGGTTGCACTGGCTTCAATGACAGCCCTAATCTACATGGTGACTGCAACATAAACAAGCCGCTGGACTACTCCCATTCTCAGCGAATCGCGTGGAACACAAGTTATACCGTGGACCGCGTACCTCCTAATTGGGCCCTCGATTATGGGGAGCCGGAACCAGAGAGGGAGAGATGCGTCACATGTAATCATCACGGCAACGAAAGCAAGACTGACAAGTCCAGCGAGTCAGCATATCCAGGACTTTTGATGCATCTGAAGCCTGCTTTGGATAAGAGTATACTCAGTAGACTGGAAGCATATGGTACGGTGTTTCCCGTTAATCAATGTCTCAAAATTGTCATATTATTATAATGGTCTAAAACATTAAGCGGTTGCTTCCTTAGTGCAGACTGGATTTCGTGCAGCTAATATGATATGCTAAGTGAATGTGGATTACACGGAATCTATTTACTACCCGGTAGTACACCATCTTGGTTGAATAAGCACGCGACACGCTGCATTTCATCACTACATAATGTGCTGATCGCCGGTATTGCAGAGTTGAACTACATTTGAGAGTCTCGATATCTTTGAAAATGCCTATTCTATCCGGCTTCACTGATCAAGAAGAGAGGGTACGATGTTGCAGAATTTATCCAGTTGGACGAAGCACGGTATTAAAATAGTAAAACGTATGAGGTGATTCACAGCGTTATAATAGGCTAATTCTCTAAAACAAAGATTTGTAATGAGCTGCTTCATGAAATACCGAATGGCTCATTTTCCTCCTTATAGAAGTGACTTTTCCAGTGGGTGAGACAAACAGTCGCTGAATTGCAAGCACATGTTAGGCGAAAAATTTGAGTCACATCCTATGTTAGAAGAAAAGACGGTTAGGCGAACAAGCTTATTTTCGGTGGTTCGCATCAGGCCAATACACCACAGAAAATAGGAGTAAAACAAACACAGTGTATTTACATACGATGAATCAATGAAGTGAATTGACCGGTTAATGCGATCAAGTGACCACACTGGCTTGGGCGTCATTAGTGGAAGGGTCAAGCGTGACGTCATGACATGGGGAAGCTTGAGGCCGTGGTAGCTGTAGAGTCAATACAAACTTCTTTTGAGCACATGAGTCGGGGTTATGGAACCGAATAGCGATTGCTTCCGCTGTCGCTGATAGGCGACATCCGATGGATCGTGTGTGGTGTCCAGATATTTTGTAGATAGGCCGGAAGGTCTCTCGCACATTCACTTGGTGATTTGAGTCGACCAAATGCCCCAGCACTGCGCTGACTACTGTTTTTCTAACACCAGTGTAGAGCCACGCCGGACAATGTTCTCGGATTCTCTCAGACAGTCGCCTGGTCGTCTTTCCAATAAAACTTGCTCGACACGAGCAAGAAAAATGGTACACACAGAAGGAAATATTCTACCTCGGTATCTTGTGCTTGAGATGTTGACTCACGACTGGCGTAGAAGTGAAGTTGACACGGAGGTCATCTACAAAGTAGGTTCTCGCGGTTGCACTGCAGAGTAGTTCGTTCTGCTATCACCTTACCCTTAAAAGGCAGTGATAAGTAGATTAAGCGCCTTTCTGCGATGATTGGTTAGACTTTTGGTGCTCATGGCTACAAGTGCCTCCAGATGGATTTGTCCGGGTAAATATTTTGTTGGAGAACGCTTCAAATGAAACTCAATTCATTCGACAGCGTTTCTTCCGTACATATTTTCCTCGCTCTTTCCGTTAGACAACGGACAAGATTGCGTTTTTGACTCATTGGAACGAAACAGGCGAAATGGTTATACTGGCAACTCCAAGTTGTCTTTCTGTGTACTCTCCTTTGTACTGTCCCATCTGATGTGCTGGTGATGTGGACATCTAAGAATGACAAGTTGTTACTTTCAAGTTCTATGGTGAACACTATGTTGTTATGTGCAGCGGTGGAGTTGGCTAACAGATCTTCGCTGCATACTCGATCATCCGCAACACAAAATATGTCATCTACGTCTCGACCGTAGTAAACCAAGTTGTTGATACATTCGTTTAGCTGAGTGTTCTCCAACTTACTCATGAAGACATCGGCGAGTAGCGGTCCTAATGGTGAACCCATAGCTACCCCATCTATTTGTCTGTAAAACGTCTCATTGAACTGAAACTGAATGTTCTTAGTGCACGCCAGTATAAGTTGCCTTAGACAGTCATTTGGGATACCGATGTTGATGCTGTGCAATTGGATAAACTCGCAGAGATAGTCAATGGTCTCTTCTAACGGTACGGTGGGGAAAATTGACGCCACATCTATCGAGAACATCTTCCGTCCAGCTAGACTGAGTTGTTGCACCGAGTCAAGAAATTTGAAAATGTCCCGGAGGCTGTACCTAGATATGACTTTCCTGACCGGCTCGAGGCGTTTGACAAGTCACTTAGCAGTCACATGATAGGGAAAGTTGTACATGTCCAGTATCAGTCTCAACGGTACACCTTGCTTGTGAATCTTAGGTAAGCCATAAAGCCTCGGAATCACGGCTCCACTAGATCTGGCGTATTCAGAAGTGTCAGAGTCTATGATGTCATTTTGTTTCAAACTCCAAAAAGTGTTCTCATGCTCTTCTCAATTGCCGGCGTCCTGTCTTTCTCGTTTTGCACTTTTCGGAATTTCGATGCGTCTCTTAGGATGGTGTTCCTTTTCTCAATATAATCTGACTTGTTCATCAACACAATGTCAGTCACTCGAAATGATCGTCCATCTCGCGGTGGCGGTGTTGCGCTCTACTATCGAGATTATTTGAAGTGTGAGGCCCTTACCGAAAATTCCCTTGTTATTCCCGACGCACTATTTTGCCGACTGCACTTAGCAGGTCGAGAGGTTGGTTCACAGAAGACGCGTGAAGCTTGCCTCTTAGCAGTTATTTATAGACCTCCGAACCCGTCCACAGACAGCGATAACATTCTGTCAAACGCTCTCCGCTAAGGTGCTTTCCAAAGACACTCTCTATCTTATAATGGTCGATCTCAGTGTATCTTCAGTAGCATCAATATCCACTGATGGGCAATTATTTAAATCGAAACTCGTTAAATTCATGGATTTGGCAGTTTTGTGTAACCATATACATCGACCAACCAAACAAACAAGCCATCACTCTTGGACTTAATCCTGACTACTGAAGAGTTGATGGATGAGTCAGTAGCATGCGATCCTCCAGTGGGCCGTAGCGACTATTCAGTCCCAACGTTTCGTTATGTATGTTTTGCCGGTATTATTGATAAAGAAAGTGGGATTCAATGAAATATTACGGACCATTTTAAACTGCACAACTTAGCGCCAATCGTTGACCGGGACCTACAGACGCACAGTTCAGCGAATGACGCAAGGAATGAATTAAAGGAGAAGATTAACTAGGTCATACAATAAACATCGAAGGTTGTAGCATTACGAGCATTGCGCCGGCGCAATACGTGGATCCGAAGCAGAACACATAAATGGATCAACAGGAGAGATGAGATCTGGAGGCAACGTTCGCTAAGCCCATGTGAGACCACATGGCTGAATTACGAAGTCATCAGAAACTACTGCATGTCGCTCATTAGAGTCGATAAGTGCGAATGGCAGGAGAATATGGTGCTGAAATTTACGAGTAACACCAAACTACTTTACAGATTTGTGAATGGCAAAAAAAAGGTTAAGCCCGGAATACCACCACTCAAGACGGCCAGTGGCCTAACAACTACTGCTGTGAATGCCACGAACGTTCTATTCCTGTAGTTTGGCTCGGTAGCTACAAATAACACGGAACCTTCACTGTATCAACTCCCAGCAAATCTCCTTGGCTTATTCAACGTCACCTTTACCCCAGAAGCTGTTGCAATCAAATTGGTCTCTCCGGGAGCACAGTGACTGAAATTGACATGATTTGCCCAAAAGTACTTAAAACTAATGCTGCCGCCATAGCAGCACCATTTGCAACCTTTTCTCAGCGTCTGCATAAGTCTCATCTGAGTGGAAAAGTGGAATTAACACTCCAATATACAAAGGAGGTAAGCGATCGGATCCTGCCAACAACCGACCTATTACTCTCCTTCCTGTTTTATTAAAAGTGATGGAATCGGTTATCGCAGATGAACTGACGCAATACTTTGAACGTCTACAACTGATTTCTAATGCCCAACATGGTTTCAGACACAGACGATCTTGTCTCACCAACTTGCTGCTTACCCGGGACTCATGGACCAGGGCGGCTGATGAAGGAGTCCCCATAGATGTAATTTACTTGGATTTTTCTAAAGCATTCGACAGAGTCAATCACTTCTTTCTCCTCCAAAAGCTTTCTGCCTACGGTATCAGCGGTTCCCTGCTCACCTGGTTAGACTACATACACGAGAGAGCAATCAAAGTAAGAATAGCCGACACTCACTCTTTAAGCCTGTGCGTCTCCAGTGGTGTACCACAAGGATCCGTCCTCGGCCCGCTACTGTTTTTAGTCTACATTAATCAGCTTCCAACAGACATTCTATCTCCGATGCAAATATTTGCAGACGATGCTAAAATATGGAGAGCAATTCGCTCAGCATCCGACGGTGTCTACCTCCAGGAAGATCTGGCTCGGATTAACGAATGGGCAGAAAGGAACCAGCTCTCACTGAACCCTGCAAAGTGCCACCCGTTGACGGTGTGCATCAGCTTCATCAATACATATCTTTTGGGGCAACATGTCCTGCAACACGTGACTAGTGAACGCGACTTAGGTTTAATCGTGCAAGAGAGTCTTGTCAATTCACCCCAATGTTTGAAAACAGCAAGTGTGGCGAATTTGAACTTGAGGCTTTTGAGGCGAGCTCTCAGCACCTTTGAGCGACGGCTAATACCATTGCTGATTAACTCCTAAATTCGCCATCACGTTGAATTTGCAATTCAGGCCTGATGTCCATGGTTAAAACGAGACATTCGCCCATTAAAACAACCACAAAGGCAACGCGTGGACTATCCGGTCTAAGTTACGAACTGCGTCTTCGTGTACTCCGTGTGTTCTCCTCTGAATACCGACAACTTCGCGAATATCTTATTCTCACACACCGGACACTAACTGAAAGCGAGGATCCATGTACATCACTGTTGACCCTAGCCCATTACAAATAATGCAGTCAACTACTTGAAACTAATGACGCAACATTCCTGTTTGCATTTTAGAAAGTGTTTTTACTCACTTAGAATCTGTTCGCACTGGAATGCACTACCAAGATATGTTGTGAACACACCGGACATGGCGACATTTGAAAGCCTCTCAGCCTTCCGCCTTAGTAATAAACGCCACACAATAGTTTGATAAAGTGCAATGGTTTAACCACTGATATTTAACGTTCTAAGTTGGAACATTTTGCCTTTAATTTCCTTTTTCGGATCCATTCTGTGGGTATTGTAAAGTTAGGCTTTTTATCCTATCATACACTATTCAACTATTGAACACAGGTGCAGCACAAAAAGGAGATGATGAGATTCCGGGCTGTAACATCTAGTTCATCTTGATACTGATTGAGCCACCGCTTGCGTACAATATATTGTGCATTGGGTAACCAGTTCATGAACACAGATATCCTCAGCTTAGCGCACTATATTGACTGAAATGCAAATCTGACCAGCTCGGAGAACACCCCCAAACGCTCACCTGAATCCCGACCTACTAATATTCTCACAAATTTCGACTACCTAGTTGTCTCCATATCCTGGCGGGTATCATATACCAGCTTCCCACTTACCAGTTATATCATGCGTCTGTGTTGTCCCAGTGAATTGCTGCCGCTTCACTAAAGTATGACTACAAAGGATTGCGTATGTTTGAATCGACCTTTCATATGATTGCCTTAGAATTCCTATTTTCCAAGAAAATTGGCTGCTAGATAGACGCTGCCGTGCAGAAACCATTAACTCGAATGAGTAACGTCCTTTTTTGCACTTTACAATGCTCCACATAGATATGAGTGAACCACGACAAATAATAATAATAATAATAGGCATATTTCTCATCGTGTGAGAAAACGTGTCCACATTTGGCACATATCAAATTTTACAGAACATGTCATGCTCATGCATGGATGGTAAACAGCTAAGTGATTTTCATTGCTTTTGCTGCTTCAGGGGTTTGTATTAACTCACAGGTGTGTTTCGACGCAATGTGCACTAGTTGGAATAGTGGATGGTAACAGCACTATGGTTATGCCACGTAGTATACAAGTTTTTTTCACTCATTAGATGCTTTCTGGCCCTTTTGGTACAAATCATCAAGTGATCTCTCCCAAGAGAACAGGGTCATAATCGTGTTCAAATCTAGGTAATTGGTGAGCTTAACACGAAAGGCCGTTGCGTCCTCACACGATCGGATTGTGACAGGGAGCTAATTTCACAGGACAGCATATCTGATAAGGAAAATGTTAGACCGCAGATTTACCATGCACCTAGGTACACTCAGGATAAACTCCTTATTACGTAGCTCCCTTGTCGAACTATGTTGTAGCTCTAGGGCGGACAATTAGCGGTGGGCGTTTTGATAAATCATGTTATACAGAAGCATCAGGTTATGTCTCAATCTTCGTAACCGAGGCGCATCGAGCTGGAATTGTTGGCAGCGCTCCTGATATTTCTTAGTGGATGTTTTGCCTAGCAGACGTTTGGTAGATGACCTTTGTATACTTTCCAGAGATACTCTGTCAGGTTTCCTCATACTACCACAAATAATACTGCAGTACTCTGGAATTAGTAAGTTACACAGAGCTACCAGTTACCTGCAAGACTGGACCATGCTTCTAACCGTTTAACAAGTTGCCAGTAAACAAAAAGATAAATAACTAACCTGCTACTCTGCATTGCAATTTAATCTAGACGACTGGAGCCAGTGGGCTACTAATTCGCATGCTGAGAGCACGTCAAGCGGATCGCACACAGCTGGTGTATGGGGCGGTGGTTATGATTCCAATAAAATAATTTATCGTACACGGGTAAGAACACAGCTATTGTAACGCTAGTATATAGGTTAGAAAGCATAAATCTGCTGGCATTGACCGATGGTCTTCACACGCAAGCAAGCATAATGTTGTAGTCACCTGTTATCCAAACGAACTCACCTGGCTTGGAGACGAAATAACAAAAGGGAAGAGCCGAAAAAAGCAAAACACGCGGTTCTTGTATGAGCATAAGGATACCAGTAACATTCACAATATTACGCGAGCCATGGATGTATTACATGCGCGAGTGGTCGTCCCCATACCCTTGTCAGCCATTTACAACACCTACTTTGTAAGCCCCGGGTGTGCCAAGGGTGGGGAGCAATATATGCGCTTTACTGCGGCGCACCCCACATTACGCGCGAACTCAGAGGGAACCAGACAACGTTTGACCAAACATATTGTGTCCTACTCACTGACACCTTAGATGAAGAGGGTGCTATCCTATCTAAGAATTCAACAGGCTAGATCGGCATTACTTAATATGGCGAGGAGAATCCGCCATGTGCGTTAGACGCGATCACCAACAGTTCCAAACATTTAGGAACGCCTTCTTGGAGTTGAGTGGCTCGCTCTTGTACCAGCCTTTTTGAGCGCTGCTTCTGTTTTGCTTCCCAACGCACATCCACATGCGGCTGTTAAACCTTCTTATTGTGTTACGACCTCGGTCTGATTCGTTCGGTCTGCGAAGTTTCCTTGCATTACTGATTCTTAGATACCACTGTGTGACCGGCATAGGACAGTGGAAACAGTTTATCGCCATTACATGGCTATAAAATCAAGCGCATCAGTGATCACATCTGCAAAAATGAATATCGACACTAGTCATTGGAGTGACTGAGAATGAAGGCTTCGATATGATTCATCAGTCAGCCTGCATGGGGAGTAAGCAATGGCCACGAAATCGGGTGAACCATTGTAGACACCAGGAGACAGATGCAGCACATACACTGTCACCTACAGAGATTGAGAACAGATTATGCGTGAACAATTTCCTTGGCAAACTTGGCAAAGGCCGCCTCGCGATCAGTGATTCTATACGTTTTCCAATGTTGTGATTCAAAGTACGGATCCTATAGCAGCGTAAAACCGATCTTCTGAGATGCGAATTGAAGTGGATGGGTGTCACATTTGTTTTGGGACGTCTTGGTTCAAATCAGTAGGCCCAGTCATGCTCTCCTGCGAGCAAGTTGGCAACTGCTTGCTCTTGGAGTAATGCGATTGGAACCTGAAGTGTATGGTCAAAGTCAGCTTGCACGAGTGTCTGACTTGTGCCAAGGAGTGGCAAACAATGGCACCCGACGCCATCATGCACACCGTAAGTTCTCCACGTCTAGCAATATCGTGAAGTCAGCATGTCCTCACAATGACGGATAAACGCACGAGGGCGGAAGTTGGGGAAATGGAGTGGTCCATCAAGCATCCGCGGACTCCTCAGGAATCACTCAGCCGATGAAATAATCCTTTAACATGTATCGGTAAGTTAGTCCTGTAAAACGTGTTTCTTGAAAATACAAAATCAGGATACCTGATGGTCAACCCAGCTATAAACTAGCAGATGGAATTTGGGCCGCTGCAAAAAGAGTAGCGCTTGGTGAGTCGAGTTTATTTCAAGCAGAGGCAACGCGAGAGATGTAAAGTCATGTGGGTTGGTATAATATGAAGATGGTAAGAAACCACTTGTCAGTTTATATAGGATTAGTCGCGGAAGCAATTATTGAAGCTTAAAAGCCGTGTAGTTCATAATCGGTGTAAGCGGACATTATTACGATGGGCATTAACACGTAGTGGCGTAAAAGCTACTTTTGCCACTCGGAGCGGTGACAAAATGTTCGCCCTGACTGAGAGTAGAATAGGCGTGTGAATGCCACACGATCGGCGCAAGGGAAAGTGGACATTAGTTTTCGATGAAATAGATGATGATTTGGGACACTGAGGTCAATGTGGCGAAAGTGACCACAATGACACAAGTAAGGGGATCGATAGGAAGAACGTTGGCACAGATATGATACATTGCCCAAATTTGTGGTTAGTCATACGTAGTAGCATTGAAATCTTCGACCTTCAGCATGTCCGGATATTTTGCCCCTTATATTCGCTATCAAAAAAGCGATGATAATCAAAATGCCACACCCTCTCATATGCCAACTGGGATGGAGCGCTCCCTTGCTACGCTTCTTTTAACACGTCTGTTTTATACCATCTAAGAATCCTCCTTAGAGAACAAGTTAGATGGAATCCTAGAAAAGTATACTATTAAAAACAACGCACCGGGTAAAAATTGCCAACAGACCTATGCCGATGATTAGCATTAAACACGAGGCAGGAAATTCCCCACAAAAACCTGTGATAAGGTTTCCGCATGACACCCATCAGTCGGCGACAAAAGAATAGGTAAGCACACTAACACCCCACTTGACTCGACTAACACGATGGTGCATTGTACTTTGTTTAATACTATGTGTGCTCAGAATGATGAGCTGACATATCCCCTGGAAGGCTTCATGCAAACACCGTAAGAGACAACATCTCAAAGTGCCCGTTATTGCAGTTATCCATTTGGCTGAGCATTCACTCAACTGCGTCAAATTTCCCTTTCTTTCTTGTACAGAAGCAACAAAAATTCAGAAATCAGAACAAGATCGGAATGATTTACTCTCGTACGATTTTGGCACTCAATCCCGTTGGTGTCAGAATGATTCTACCAACATGATACTGCTTAATGTTGAAAGAAATCTGAAGAAGTTGAAAACTCCATACCGAGGACCTTCGAAACCCGATGTGGAATCTCCCGAGTATTTGCGTTACCTTCGGAACAAATATTTTGTATAAATCAACTAATGAGACATGAAAATAGTTTCACTGCACATTTGTTTCCAAACTTTTCACGTAACGTTACGCTGCAATAGCTTTGTTTGGGAATACATCTCCCTGATGATGGGGCTTCTGCAGTAACAACGGTCGAAAGTCTTCATCCGCATGTATTCTGTGGTGTACTATTACAACCCGCGTGATAAAAGTTATTCAACAAAGACGAGTTGGATGAATTTGACTCCCTAAAGGCTAAATTTCAACCAATTCACACACGCTTTAACATACTCCTTAAGATCTCCAAGATTACAAAGGTGGCATTGCACAGTGCAACACCTAAGTAAAGCAAACGAACGCAGTTGACGTATACAGAAAGTACGTTTGTCTCCGTGTAGTACTGTGGATGCAAAACACTATTAACATAGTCCGCCGTTTGCAAAGTCATTCGCGCTCATTAGATTTCGGATTAAAGGAATTGTTGAAGTTATCGAAATGTGCAGGGCCTCATGCTCCCTTGTCTTATTCAAGTTCTGTTTTAGGAGCTAACACTTTGAAAGTCGGATCCAGCACAGCGCCCAAGGGGGTACGATAGATCTTTATTTCGACTTTTCAGCTACGTGGAAAGCTGGCGGGACTCGCACAGCTGACTTGATACGGATGTGCTAGTACCCACCGACTGCGAGTTGGTAAAGTAGGAACACCAAGACCCAGTGTGAAAGTGGCCATTCAACAAAAATCGAGTACAGTTGTTGGTCAGCCAGGTGAGCGGCTCACCTTATCACTTCACAAGTCTTTACGTGCCCCTATCTGGAGGCTTGACACGGCTGGTTCAGTTAACCGAGCACTCAGGAGTTAGGCCATCCAGTCTGCCCGAACGTCACCATAACACTTGATGGCAGGCTTGCTTCCTGTCCCCCTACGGGGCGCGGGTGGACGTATGATTAGGTTCAGAGCGCGAGGTGGAAGTCCATCGGCTGAGGTGTTGGCCAACTGTCCTTGGGCCGATCATCCAAATCGATATGAGGATTGCGGCGTATGTCACAGACCAACATGATTCAGATGAACGCCCTTCGGTATAGTGCTACTCTCAAGCCTTCTCTGCTCACGCAGTGAGTGTTCTATTCCTTGCGTTCAACTAAAGAGTGGCACCACATACAACCTGTAAGATGGGTTGCATTCGTTGAGCTCTTTGATGGAAGCGGATTGACATCTTCCAGTTCCCGCCTACTTTCTTTACTAAATTATGAGCAATCCGGTCAACCTAATCGTATAACTATATCTGATGCAGTCTCATGAGAGCAATTTCCTCTTGTCACATAAATATTCTGCTTTTATTGCCAGTTAACTCAGCCCAATTTCTATGCTAACCATATGCATGATGCCAAGCAAGGCATAAATAGTTGCTTTATCACGGTTTTCGCCTAGATTGTGAGGTGTTTTACGAGAAGCATTCGGTTCGTACAGACTGGCAATAACATAAGTTTACTGGACCCTAAATGGTAACTGTTTAGGGTTCATTGTCCTGGGCCAAACCTGCCTGGGTACCCACTCTTAACAAAGCTGAGCCAAGAGGATATGTACCAAGTTAGTGTTTTTTCTCACATCCTGGTGCGTCATAGAATTTCTCCAGCTATCCAGAGCCATAGTGAATTTGCAAAATAATCAGGTGATTAGCAAGGAGGACAGTCAACTTACAAACCTTCTCCACTGAATCAACAAACAAATGGCCTTGCTTTGTTGGCCTTTTTACAGAATATTAGCATCCAAGACGATGTGAACATCGCTGGTGCATGGTCTTAGCTTATGAGGCCTTTAACTAAATGGCCAAAAATGGGAATTCTCTCAGCGTCGCATCCCGCTAGGAACCTAGTGGTTCGATGCTGCCAGTTGTATCGGACTTACAAGCCACGACTTGATGCATTACTTGGTGTTAAAATGCCATTCTACTTACTAAACTTGTGCTTATACTTATCCAAGTGTGGTGCCCATCGTTGCTGCCGTTGCATCAACATCCGTTGGATTCTTTGTCCACAGCCAGCAGTAAGCAGAGAAGTTGACGACCCCTGTAAATGTCGAAGCCTGTCCCCAAAGCTACTGGGGAAACTTCTGATTCCGGGGAACACTTACTATGCATGCTATCGAAATATGGACAATACATCCGTGTTGGAGAATGGCAACTACCGATGTGGCTGCGCCACTAGATGTGATGTAGCGTTGCTCGCAAGCACTGACATACATGTTACTGCAGTGTAGAGGACCGAGCAGCCCAATTAATATCAAAGCTATAGCCATAATAAGGAAATGCATCAAAAATATACAATCTTGGAGCTTTTTAGTTCATTTTATTTGTTAAAGCGGTTAAGGACTGTGGAGAGACGCGAGAGTCTCATTTGTAATACCACCAATAGAAATTTAGTAAAATATCAAGGGGAAGTATTTGTGAAAAGTAGATTAAGACGTTCTAATAGATATAATCAGGCGTTCAACATAGCGCAGAAACAGGAAATTGCCTTTAGGCCTTACTAAACTTATGCATAGATTAGAAAGCTGCTCGCAAATTTCTGTTCATGAGGGCGAGTTTATGGATTGTTTGTAATGAGATAGCTAGTTTCGGTGTATCGTAGACACCTACACAGTCGTCCGGCTTTAGCATGGGAAACAATGATAGGTTGTGCTCGCTGTCGTCACTGTGCACCAGCAGTAGCTTCTTGTTTGTTTGCGTTTTTCGGTAAGGGCTAGTCGAAGAGAGATTTGATTTCACTTTAACTCTATTGGGGAAGCGAAAAATCACGAAGCCGGTCAGAAAATGCAATGTTATTGAGCGGACAGCATTTAAAATAGCCCAGTTTAAAGACGGTCCCAATGCAATTCACCGGAACCGAACGAACACTGTGTCAATACACGTCGTAACAAAGGTCGTTTGTGGAGCTCTATAATGCAGTGGCCAAAGTGCCTGCCGACATTAGCTACTTGGCGGGATCTGTTCCCAATATAGCTATCTATACCGGAACATTGTACGCGAGCATCAAATCCATCTTGAAGTGCAACACGGACAGACAACATGGAGCATTAAGTAGCTTCAGCTACTTTCCCGGTGAGGATTGTGAAGCGAATATCCCTTTAAAATGTGATTGCAAATCGAACTTCATTGGTAAAATTGAAACGAAATCACAACAATGATGGAAACTATCGGTGCTCTCCACCTACCATTTTGGACGAATACGCTTGTTCCCACTTCCTGAAGCCTGCACAATGGGTCAGAAACCGTTGACGTTAACAAATAAAGCTGCCCATGGTGCTGGCCGCATGATAATTTTGTACTGGTTGGGTAGCTGCTCAGCCTTTTCTCTTCACTTACAGAGACACTAGCAAGCCCGATTATCTTGTATTTCAGCCTCTGGCGCAAACTTTTCCGTATCCTGCCTGCTAAGCTGCCTTATATTCTGTCGCACCCAGAACACTACAGGCATCCTCACGTACCATGAAATATGCCACCTGTCAATCGCTAATTCGCGAGGTCTGTTGGCAGGCAGGCAGTTCGCGAGGTCCGAAGCATCCACTGCGACTTTCTTTTTAACGAACTCGGCATATGTTTCCAATTGTACTCGGCATGGTAAAAGTGCCTCGTGGACTATGGCTGAGTTATTTCACGTAGTTTCGATAGCAGGGAACCTGTTCAAAGTTAACTGGCTCTTGCGAGCTTCCCAAATGATCAATCGAACACTGATGTATTAGCTTTTGTTCAGAATACTCCGGCAAAACGAATTGTTGTCTCGTATGAGTAAGTGACGCCATGATTACGATGGTGCCTAATGGTTGATGAAGTTTGAATGTCACATCATTTGCCCGCAAAATACTTCACTGTGAGACACATTGGAAATAATTGGTTTAAACACGTTATTGATTACCTTCGTTCATTATTGTTGGGAGTGCGCTGTCTACAACTTGGTCCCATGTCCTGGACGTCGAAAGTGTTAGGGCTATATTAACTCATGCTTACAATATCTACAGACAAAGTTCTGTTGAAAAGCTGTTATGCTAGACTTCAGAAGATTTACTGCATGCGTGGAATCAAAGCCTTGCTATTACATTCATGAAACGTTAATACCTTCGGGACAAGTATTGTAAAGCTGCCTTCGTACTGCTGCACTGCTGCTATTCTGCGCCTGCGAGACTACGACCGCCTTATTGCTCAGTCACGCGCCCAACCAACCGACGTGATACAGAAGGCCAAGGCTCGGGAAACAGGGAGTCTATTCTACACTACAGGTCAGTTCTATTATTTGGTGAACGAAACATACTAATTTTAGAAGCGTTTGGCTCTCAGCCAAATGTGAGTTAATTCCGTCCCACGGAGTTTCCATATTTGGCAGAATGGTTCACCTCCGTTGACTCGGGCTTGCATTTGCTGGCAAATCAGTTTGCACCCGATTCCCAAATTTGGCGAAACAGTCGAAGGTCGTTCCACGCTCGTGCTGGTGACCTTCGCATGCAGCAGACAGCTCACGTGCTCTGTGGTACGCCTGTGCGAAACCTCGTACCTGGACATTGGCTCCGCTTACCTCTCTATTAAGGGGTACTCTGCAGATTGCGCTCCGGTGACTAATTGCATCCAGCGCGTCACCGAAGGCTGCTTAATCGCTGACCTTCATTATTCAGTACATGTGCTAAGTTGGCTTAGGGCTTCCCGAGTTCGCTATACACTGACGCTCACTCTGACTTAACGTTTCATCATTCATCAATCGTTGCAAATGACTGCTGACAGATTTGCAGTACACAAGCAGCAAATGCGCTCGCGTGGTAGTGACCTGCTGATTGTGCGCTAATCGTCAAGTGATGCAGGCTTTTTGATAAGTGCCAAACGCATTGTACCGGTTCGCAGGCCTTTCACAGCATGATGCAACAACAAGGGGCTTTGCCGTGCAGTTTGTAGGTGATCCACTACGATACTTTGAGGATGGTGTTAGGACCACCTAACTGTTGAATCTACTCTTAATGTACGCAAATCCTTGCACCAGGAAAACTCGGTGTGTCCAGACGAGAAAATAGATAAGGAAAGCCAAAATTCCGCGGATAGATACTGTAAGCTCATCTTACTCGCATACAAGTCGCGGTTGGCAAAATTACTGATGTTTCCTTACCCAAATGGTTGAAAACATCGGATTCCAATATACAGAAATTCCACCACTAAGTCGCTGTCGGTCTAACGCCAATCTGGAATGGTCATTCCTCTCTTACAGTGGAGATTATCGTAAATGAGCTAATCCAAACTCTAATCACTTGTGTGGTATGCTTCAAAACTACAGTGCTAATAGACCTGTGAATCTGTTCTAGTTTCCGAGCCATTGTGCTAAACTGCAATAGCATAGCTCGAAGAGGAAACATAGACTGCTTTTTGTCGCAATTTAATTCAGCGACAGGCGTGGTACATAGACTCCACGTCATTTCATTTTTATTGATAAGTAGTGGGGATTTTTGGTGCAGTTTAGGTGCAGTTTATCGCAGTCCCTTCTCAGTCTTGCGGTTTCCTACATGCATGGAAAAGCACCAGACAGCTGTTTTGACATTCCAATACGTGTTTCCTAGTCCTCTGTCGGGTTCGGATCTCACAACTTTTGGATACCAGCAGCTTGTGTCACTAAGCCATGGGTGACGGCAGTAGACCTAGATGAGTGACATGTGACTGTGATATAGCGCAGCTCATCGCCGCCATGTAGTTACGACGTACAGGAGAGAGAAGTCTGTGTAGCTTCTAAGTGGTGTGTCGTACACAGTTCCTATACCGAAAGTCATAGCTCCTTGGGACAACTATTGCACTTTGACGGAACAGCCGACCTGTGACCTTAAGGATAACAAGCCTACCTTGTAATCTGAGGTTGCGGGTTCGGGTCTGCGCAGGGAACGGGCAGCCCTCGTAGTATTCTTAGCGAACGCACGATTGGCGTGGTCGCTCGACAACGAAGCGTCATTACTGCGTACCGGCGTAGTGCTGATGCCTTTAACGGAAGGATAGTGGCTTCGCCTACTGAAAAGCATTCGCCTTAGTTTAAATGTGGTTACCATGAGAAACCACACGTAAGTTCACAGCCACGGAGAATATGCAGCAATTTTTGTGAGTTCACATAAAGTATGTCAAGCTGTAACTCATCATCTCTGTGCCATGGGACTCGAGCGGGCTAGTACGTATAAGAAAAAGTGTGCTGAGCTGAGGATCCAGTCACAATAAGCCATTGAGATTTCTTTCTCAATAACTCTGAAGTCGATTATGCTGACAGTGCGAGTAGACCTTTGCCACGATCATACATGATGGATGGATGGCTGGTCAATGATTGTGGATGTGGTCAGCTTGCAAAAATCCAAAGTACGAACGGCGTTATCTATTATCGCAAACATTTTAGCATCAGCTCTAACCACTAACAGTTCCACTCATCAACCAGCTATCTCCTAGAGGCTGCGTGGTGCACCCGGCTTCTGTACCCATTCTTAGTGCACATATCTCTAAGGCTCCCAAGCGTTCTACTTTTGCTGGGACAAAGATATGGTCAGCAGTTTACCTGTTAACGTCAGACTTCCATGTTAACGACACTTGGATCAGTGATACCTGCTTTTGACCCACCACGAACCCAGCCCCGCTGCGCAATCGGTAGCAGGACCAAGCGAATGTATTTGGTCAAATGATGTTACGGTTTGCTGTTTGTAGCGGAGCCGAAAAGTTCACCTGGAAACCTGTGCAAGCAGTGCGCAGCTAGACCACTTTATCAACGCTTCTAGGATGATCTGAGCTTGTCGGAATAACTTAGTTTTAGCATGATTTAGCTTTAGGTTATACGTGTTTTTCCACTATCCACACGCATCCGGCAGCAACACTGAAGCGAAACAGATACTCACAACCATCGGCCCTACATGTGGATACTCTGCATAATTCGAATCTATAACGAACCAAGAAAGAGTGTACCATGTCAAGTGAAACAAACAAAATTTAGATGAAAACAAATTGGAAACAATGATGGAGAGTGTGCCAAATGTCTCTGTTCCGCTTGCAGGGTATGATCATGTGTTTTGTGCGATGCAAAGTGCGACCGCGCTGATAAAGATCTGAAAGTAAAGCAGACGGCAGAGATGACTACAGGGTTAACCAAAGCAACTACACCGAGATTTCTATTGGGGTGAATTTTTTCCACGCTGCTCAGGGGCGTAGCATAATAGCAAGTGTGCAGTCTGGTCCAGGTAATGTTCGTCTGTAAATGAGTAGAGCTGAGACTTTATTTCGCAGCAAAAGGAAGTTAACGCCGAGAAAAATGCTTAAAACTTTACAGCAGTAAGGAATAATATGCGTTGAAAATACATGGAAGTTGTTTGTAATTCGTAGGAACACTAGTCAAATATAGCAAGGCTCAAGAGGATTTTATCGTTAGGGCTTATGCATGTGCATTAAAGGAAGTATTGAATGTGTTTAATTGTTCTCCTCAACCCTGACACAGAACGACCGGTCTCTTCCTCGTTTGGGCTCATCTGATAGAGATAGCCTGAGCTGGGTACCTAGTTTCCCTGATAGCTCAGGTTATCCCTATTCGATGAGTCCAAATGAGGATGACACCGGTCGTGGGGTGTCAGTGTTGAGAAAGGCAACACTGAAACACCCCCAGTTCGAGTACGGTCCTCGTGATCGGATTGCTCGAATTCTACTTCAAGATAAACCGAGTGCGCACTAGATAGTATGTGCCACAATCCAACCACAAGGGATGTACTCGAAATTCAAGGTTTAAGCAAGTTTCATGTATCTTTCTTATTGCATTCGGTTACGGCTCTGCCAACTGAGCGGTGCATCTGGATGACAGTTTGTGTTACCAACATGGTAGGACTTCATCTTCTGTGTAAGGGTGGTTAGGTACTAACGCTGAAATAATCCAAGGTCGCCTTGATTAATGGGGTGTTTTGGAGTTGATGTGCGGCCACTCTCTGAGTTACGGCACAGCTTGCAGTGGCGTCGTATTTGCATCAAAGAGGTTGGGAACGGAAAGTTGAATAACACGGTGCTCTCTAATTTCGGCCGAAAGGAATGTCACCGGCACCACAGCAATGCTCAGCAGACTATTCTCCGATCACCCGTGGTGAGGTTCAGAGACTGTAACTTGTTCAGCATGTAGCTACCAAGCTCATCCCTGGTTTAAGGGGTATCGTAGGAAGACGGGCTGTACACCCTGTCGTATCGCTGGTTTCGTGTGGACCTCATAATGACGAAGCAGATATTATATTTGGGTGACGGCTCTAGGCCGAGGCAGCTTCTGCACATGCACACGCTAAGCAACACTCGCGGGTACCGGTACAAGTTCGTAGTATCGGATCTGAGAGGAATATCTCACCCTTTATGCTCAGAGGGTCCAGTGGGGATTTTTTGGAACCGCTTAGGCGAAATCGGTGTCAGCACTCAAGAAATTCCTAGGCGCCACCTTTGCTGATAACAGCTATCGAGAGCGTATCGCCCCTGAATGTGATGTTGGACCATTGCATTACGTCGGAAATGCGTATAAATGAGTGACAAAACCCCGCACACGTACACGATCCAAGTACGAAGGAGTTACTTGCTCTCTAATTGCATTATTCAGCAAAGTGGTGAGATATGACACGACAGACAGGTGCATCATCTGGATAAGTAAAGAGCTCTACTCATGGAGTATTGCCACAAACGCCAACTGTGATGTTGGCACTCGGTATTTTTAGTTCAGATCGAACCAAGGTTTAAGCGTCAGCAAGTTGTGCGTGTGCAACCTGGCGGCAACTCGTACACACAATGTAAGCTGACCGCAAACTACCATATCTCCTTTTTATTTGCCAGGCTGCAACAGCAGGTAAGCCTTCGATGGGAATTCTTGCACCAATATTGTGATGGCACAACCCTCGATAGAGACACCATCTCCATAGATAGGAGCATGTCATTCCGTATGGTAAAGCTCATTCATCTTGTTCTCATGGGTTGTGGCGCCACGTTTTGGAATTTCAAGCAATAAGCGGTCATCACCAAAGTAAGTTCCGGAGCGGGCATGTGTTTTGTCAGCCAAAAGATCTGGGAATGAAAAACGTCTTAAGGTTATATCAGGAAGATACTTCGGTTGTACAGAATGTTCCTCAGCCTAGGCGTATCTACCATCTACGGGACAGCTTACGCTTGGTTGGTCGACTTTAGCGACAAAACCATGAAACAGACAACGACGACGATGTGGCAACATTCACTCCCGTAGGTGGATGATTGCGCAAGGGAAATAAGCAAAAGCCAGTTGTTGGTCTGGGCGCTTAGGAAGATCCGGACTTGAAGTTTGGAGTTACGGGAGGTAGTTCACAACATACAACCTCACCAGTTCAGTTGACGTGACTTTAAGATTCCAAACACTGTCCAATCTATATTATCAAAAGTTACGCAGCTCTGGAGATAAGGCAAGTTAACGAGAGCATCTCGCTAAGTTGCACCAAAAACTCTCATATTTAACTGAAAATTCCTCGCACCAGCTTCCAAATCAGATACTCGTCCATATGCTCGAAAACGCCATGGACTGCAGTTACTTCAATATCTACCACTTATGATTGCATTCTACTTTTCGTTTCTTTGTTCTGAAGCACGTAACAGAACACCTTAATAACGAGCAAACCAGCGAAATAGAAGACACAAAGCTTTTGCTTAACGAGCTCGACAACCCAGGCATGCATCTAGTATCAAGTATTGCCACAGGCCCTACAGAGACAGTCACCATACGAAAAAATTGAGTGCAGATCCAAATGGACAGCAGCTTTCCTTGCTAGGTCTTTTGCATGCATCTACAACGGCAATGTTTCATTGTGAATATCGGGGCAGTACTCGGCCCCGAATTAGCTTATGCGCATCCACTCATAATTTCGCCTAAGGGTTGACTGGTTTCAATGTCAAAGGAAATGCAAAAATGATTCGGTTGCAATTGTGTGAGCTAGCCTTCATTGTGTAAGTATTGGCTACATCCGTGAAATAGGATTAGGCGCAATGCAGATTATACCCCCTCAAAGATACGGACTGCATTAGAAAACAAAGGCAGGAGTGTTTAAAGTGTCACACAACCAAATCATTCAGCATATGCAGCACAGAGTGGCTGTTACGGAAAGAAGGGGGTATCTTTAACTTACCTGAATACCGGTTATAAGTAAGAAGTAAAACAATGTTTTGTAATCAATAATTTCTTCACGCATACGGCTCGGCAGTCTCAGAGTTTTACACTCGTCCAGTTCACTACATGGCAGCACCTGAAAGCGGTAAAGGTTTGATCCATCATGTTGGACGTTATCCGATGTATTACTTTGGGCATGGTAATGAAAGGAAAATTAGCAATCAATTACTTCTCTACAAGTAAGCAGAACGTGAAGCTGGTTTATATTGCACAACCGTATCAGCATCGATTGTCGCGGCGTATCTTTTATTATCAAATTAGTAACAGTTAAATTGATTTGTGAGATGTCCTCGCATAAACACTAGATGTGTAAGGGTGGACAAATGTGATCATGTAAGTACCTCATCTCGATCTCTATGCCCTCCATGGTTGTAATACCTGGCACAAAGTGTCCGCGTCAACCGCACTACTTTATCTCCGTTAGACAACAAACGCACTGCATTAACACATGCAACTATGAAACAATGCGGTTCAACTTCAACAATGCAAGTAATAAAGCATCTTGCTTCGTGTCCAATACATTCAACGAAAAGTTTTCCGCTGCATTTATTAGCTGATTAATTCCCACACATACAGATCCGATACACATGGTTATCAGCACTTTTAGATATCAAGCTGCAGAAAAAGAGACTGCAATTAAGGTATAAAATCGAATATTTTGACTGTGGTGGCAAGTGCAAAAACATTTTTGATGGTCTACGCAACGAATTGTTAAATTGTGATGGGCTAGTCAAGAACCACCGGCCAGTGGGATAGTGTGATGGTGCGCAGCAATGGACGACAAGTGACCTATGCTCCTTCGCCTTCAATCATTACAGATAGTGCATTTTTACGGACGAATAAGAAAGCTTCATTACTGGAAGGCGTAAACATGCATCCGGAAGCTGTCTGAAGCATTACAAATGAGTGGAAAAATAATAATGCAGAAATATCTGTTACCAAGAAAGTAGAACTACTAAACTCGTGTTGAATAACGCAGATTGTAGCGTAAACGAGTGTTTAACGTATCCCCGTTAGGCGGCACACTAGCTTAGGATTTATAATGCATGCAAACCGAGTTTACTGTTAACAGTGAGCCCTTGTGTAAGGTATAATGAGCAAACGGTAATTTAATGAGAGGCATTCAGAGATGTAATGAACCCTTGGCAGTGCTCGCCGCCCCCCCTACCTCGACATTTCCCCGACTACCAGTAGCGTCCGCGTGTGGATTATTCAAGCGGAAAAGAGTAACAAAACTTGGAATCGGCGATCACTTGGTTGACTGCACAATGGTTTTGAATTAGCCTTACCAGTGTCTTGGAGTAACCCAGAGAGGCGTTTAGTTCTACCTTCGTAAATTTAGGACCGGATAATGATGCAAATGTTGCGGATGGCCGTAAGATGCCCAAGAACAAAAGGTTGTTCAAACGCAAGTAGGTATTTATTCCAAATTTAAACATTCTTACTAGTAAAGGTACTAAGGAAGTTAGCATAGCATATAAAACATAAAGGCTTAAAGTTAGATAGCTGGGATCTAATTAACATACGGATGCTCATAATTGTCCTCACAGTCCCAGAAATATACATTACTGTTGCCTTTAACAAATGCACGAAAGAGCTTGCTCTGCTATTCATCATTGTTCATTATTCAACTGGGAAACATATGGGTGTGATTGTGCGGTTTTCCGCAAAATGTTCAGGATCATCAGTGTTCACAGAAACGGAAGCACCAGTTTGCTTAGCAGTCTGAGTGGGGGTTTTAAGCGCTGAATACGGGTTGCGGATTTCGGATTACAATAAAAAGTAACACGTTTAAACTACCGACCTCCTCTGAAGTTCCTGCGCATCTGACCTCGGGAACCACTATGCCATCATGGTTATGGTCGTTCAATAGATCCCACTTGGAAGCACTTGTCCATGTGGCCGGATCGCTGGCATTAAGACAACGTCGACGTCGCCATTTATACCGAATACGACCACAACGAGTTGGAAAACAGGGAGAAGGAGCGGACCAACTTGACCAGATTCCAATGTTCTTCTCACAATATTTACCTGAAGAAGACCAAAGGAATACGAACGCGGTGAAAACGGAATTTTCTGAAACCAGTCACTGGATCGGCTTATCTTCGAGACAACACTAAGCGTATTTTGATGAAAAAGTAGTCGGTTGAAAAGAATTTGATCGCTAGTGTAGGTTTAATTAGAGGATCGAAACAAGTGACCACCATACTCCGCAAACGAATCAAGTGGGATAAGAACCACTGAAAATGTCAGTCTTGAGAGACATCATGCCCGAGAAATGAGGAGTTTGTATGTTCAATTTATGCATACCTTTTCCACTATCGTGCGTGGTGTTGCCTGACAGGCAAAGCCATATTAAAGAGGCCTGGGTTGGTAAGGAAATCTTCAACGATCGATTGAAGAAACCTAATCACAGGCCCACTTGAATGCATTTGGATCACCGGTGAATGAAGCGATGAGGTGGCGGCTACAAGGCGCGGCTACCACTGGAGCAAAGGAGAATGCCAATTTTCTGTACTATGAGAGGGGTTAATAGACATTTTCTCAGAAGCTTCCTTGTAGAAGGACCCTGAGTGAGTATCAGACCCAAAACACAATAACAACCACGCGGCGCAACCGTATGTGCGATGCGAATAACAGATGGTTTTGTGGATGTTGAATTCGGATATTTATCAACACTCAACCAACATTGGAGGGCTGACCAACACGTTTTACGCTATTTTTCCCGCCACTTTTCCCATAATGCGTCCACAGTGCTATTTCCTCCAAGCTTACTGGATGATTCGAAATACCTGTAGTTCGGGTTGGTAGTTAAGGTTTTGATTGGTTATCCGAGCTGAGTAATTTAAGGGCAACTGTTTCACCAGTTCACTCAGTGGCATCTTCATTGCACGGCTGCGTAGAGGATAATCTCACGGAAACTGTCATCGGGACTTATTGCTTGAAATTGGCCTCATCGAGCTGTGTCCCGTGACCTCACTTCGTTCGATTTTCGGCCGCCCATTTTCATGCTTTCTCAACTGTAGCTACACCGGATCAAGGCCAATGCGGAGGTCCACTGAATTCGGGGTAGAGAGCCATGCCTCGAGGAATTCTCTTCCTTTTCTTGTGCCTCCGTGCGCCAGGATTCCCGTGTTGTCCCAGTTAACCTTGTGTCCTTCCTCGTCGAGATGTGCTGAGATCTGTGACGATGCATAATGGTATCGACATGCACGCTTGTGCTCTTGTATTCTTGTAGATAGTTTTCTCCCCGTTTGACGCACATAGTCTTTCTCACAGTTCTCACACTGTATCCTGTAGACGACATTTCGGCGTTGGCATGCCTCCTGTTTTCCGTTAGGTCTAGACACGATTTCCTTCAAGGTCGAAGTTGGTATGTGAGCTACTATCAGGTTGTGGGGCTTGAGACGTTTGGCTGTATTTTCCGATACCTTTTTGATGTATGACAAGGCGATACGTTTCCCTGTTGTTGGTGCAGGTGCGATAGTTGTGCCACTTCGGTTTAGGTGTGTTCGGATGAAACTGCGTGGGTAGCCGTTGCGAATGAAAGACATAAACAGATGTTCCTCTTCCTCTCGTTTTGCCTCCGCAGCATTGCAATGTGATTATATCCTAAGAAACAGGGTCCGTATACAGCTTATTTTTTGACACTTAAGATGAATGCTGTTGAAGTTCAGGATTTGGTCGGTGTGTGTCGCTTTTCTGTAAACTGATGTTTATCATTCGCCTTCCACTGTTCGGTTAACCAGCACGTCCAAAATGAGTAGTTGTTTCCCACTTTTTCTTCCATGCTGAAACGAATACCTTCCATTGCATTGCAGAGTAGGTCTCGTGCGGTCTGTAGCTGGCTGCGTTGAAGAACCATAAAGGTGTCGTCAATGTATCATACCTATAATTTCGGACCAATGATTAGGAGTAGAACCTCTTCCAACCCCTGCATGACGACTTCCACAAGAAGTCCAGATATGGGGGATCCCATTGCAGCTCCTCTCGTTTGCTCGTAAAACACTCCGTTGAATTTGAAGTAGGTGGTAATACACACGTTGTGAAGCTTACATATGCTTTCAGTTCTCAGATTCCTAGTTATTTGTCCGCCACGGTTCAGACGATCTTTAATATTTTCCTCCGCTATTTATAAGTTGATAGAGGTGAAAAGTGCGGTGACGTCATAAGATAGCATCACTTTTTCATGGTCTATCCGCATGCATTTGAGCTTTTCAAAAACCTGATGAGCACTATCGATCGAGTATTGCGATCCGCTGGTCATGTGTTTGAGGCGTTTCCACAATTCTTTAGCCAAGTTGTAAGTTGGTATACCTGGAAGTGGTACTATTGGGCGCAGCGGCGTACTCACTTTGTGTACTTCGGGAAGACCGTAAAACTGTGGGATGTTTGGATCACGAGTCTTCATTCTATAATACTCTCCCTTTGTGAATTGATCTAAATCTTGAAGTCGCTTAAGTGTCTTATACACTTTACTTGTCAACCGTACTGCTGGATCGTTCTCCATGCGTCGATAGGTTGTTGTGTCGGTAAGCCAATTGTCTTCGGAGACATAATGTGCGTTGTTGATCTGCTGTGTATCAAAACATTGTGTGTAATTTCCGCTCAAACTCCTGTACTTTTGTTATGTATCTTCGAAAACAGGGATTGTATGGTGCCTTTTCCGTTAAATATGCTTGGTTTTAAACCATGGTGTGCGATGTTAACGTAATACCCTCTGCTTTGGTAGCACCCACCGACGTCGTCGAAAACGGTTTGATGCAGCCAAACTTATCGCTCCAAATATTCTCAGCCCTTTCCAGAACTTTCTACCTACTAATCTGAAGAATCCTCCACTCCCAAGTGTTGAGGCGTACTGGACGTATATCCGGAGTGCCATACACAAGTCCGTTAGCGTCATCTGCGGTTTCCCTAAGTACACCTCCAACCAATGGATTTTCGCTCGATCTTTTCAATTGATGGAAGACCGCCGGTCAATTCCTGCCGAGGCTTGATGCTGAGTATAACTCATTGCGCAGAGCTACCAACGTCGAGCTTAAACTGTTCCTCAGGAAAGATCGTAAAGCCTGATGGAAGCAGCATGTCATGTATTGTGGCTGTACCCACGGACGTCGCGCATCTTTGGATCCCCGTGTTATCAGCGTTATTTCTGTGTGAATGGTGCACCGATATGATTCTTTTGGCGTATTTTCCAAGCGGTGCATATTTGGCCCCTATTTAATTGGCTTATTCCGGAGATCTCATTGATTTGCTCTACTGCCATCTCGGTCCGCCATCTTGGGTTTGCTTTAGCTTGTGATGACATCTCAAGCAACTTGTGGTACGTGTTCGAAAGTTGTGGGAAATATGGCGCACGCACTTCGGTGTTTAGGCTGTGATGTTTTGTTCCATATTTCGTGCATTGTCTTATCCGTTGTCGTGTTTCAAAAATCTCTCGACATCCGACATCGGCTTTTTCAACTTATATGTGATAAATGTTACGATGCGAGACATCGTAATACACAGTGACCGCCGAAACTACGGGAAAATCTCCCTTTCAAACAGAAACAAAGCGTTCAACAGGTGGGATCAAACGCCCGGGTGAAAGTACCTCTGACACCTCGCCTTCTGTTGTCACTCCGCGATCTGCACCACCACCAGCGTATTCGACCGCGGCCGAGCCTCAGGTTCAATGTTCCCCACCGATGAAAGGCTCAGACTCGGAAGCTACGAAATGCCACTCCACTGATCGGTCCGTGAATTTCTCAGAGCCTGTCTGTGAAGTTCTGAACACCGAGGATCCATGGACTACACAAAAGCACAAGAGGCCATGTAATCGAGCTCAGACGTCACCTGCTGATAAACAACAACCCAGTCATTTAAGCGCCTCTAGTTCTGCTCCCACAGGTTCATCATTGATTTCGCTGAGGCGTCTTAATCTCATGGAATTCCACACACCAGAGTCAAAAGATGAGAACCCTCAGATACGTTATGATCACGATGTTGAGTTCCTCCAGGGACTCATCGATAGACTCTTGGATGTAGACGAAGACAGTGTGATGATAAAACAAGTAAACCGACATGGCCAGGAAACTAACCAGTCATGTCGACCGCTGAGAATCATCTTTACAAATCCCAATATGCCGCAGCTCATACTGTCTCGTCTGTCAAGACTGAAAGGCATAAAAGTTCCCATCCGCCGAGACTTGGAATCCGAAGACAGGGATCGTTTGAAGACTGCGATCATTGAGCTCAAACGCCGTAGAGAAGAAGATGAGGCTGACTTACAAATTGCAAATTTTCGGGTGATCAAGAAGGATATATGGACCCGTATCAAGCCGTCACTCAACCTCCAGACACGTCCCGCAGTACTTCTCAGGACCTCCGTGTGGCATTCGCCAACGTGTGGGGTCTAATGAACAAAGGTGACGAACTGTGCCGCTTCGCTATCTCGGAGCGATCGAATGTTTTAGGACTTGCAGAGACTTGGCTGAACTTCGATTTCATACCCCAAGAAGTCGTGTTGTCAGGATACTTGTTTCCGATGCGACCGAAAAGCAAAGGTTCACGATGGTGTTCTGTTGTACATAAAATCGTCACTATCTGGCAAACTTACCAGCACCTATCGGAGCGAGGATAGTTTATGCGAGCAATTGTGGTGCACAATCCGCCTCAGGCGCGCAGAACTAATAGTGGGGATCATCTACTGGAAGCCGTTAAACCGTTGTTGAGATTGGCTACCACATGTACAGAAGCACATGAGCCGCCCTCAGTTCTTACTGATGGGGGATTTAAATTTACCTAAGATATTTTGGCCAGAAATTCGACTTCTTCCAGGTCATGACAACGTTGAGGCGTAATTCGCCAAAATTACTACTGTAATCGGGGCAACGCAATATGTCATCCAACCGATGCGCATAACTCCGCACTGGGCATCTTGTCTGAACCTAATGTTTACGAGCTGCGAGCAGAAGCTAAATGAGTGACCACAATGACCACTGCTCCATTGTGGCAAGCTTAGAACTGTCGTTACCGTATTACAATCAACG